TTTACCGGTTTGCCCTCACGCGCGCTCGCTGCAAGTCTAGTAAATCTGAATATTCTTGGTAATGTAAAATTTGAGTGGGGTCAAGAGAAAGTGGCAGTATGGCACCCGGCTGTGTGAAATGGCAAAATTTTGAAAAGAATGCAAAGGAGACGTTGGTTGAACCGGAATGGTGTACCACTTGTGTGGAATGGCAATGAATCTACCAATGAGTTCTTGAATCCATTTCCCATTACTTTGTGCGATAGAGATGGTGATGATGAGACTTCTCGCCTAGCCTTCCCATCGTGGCCGCGGCGGGGGCTGGTTTTGGGGATTAAATGGGGCACTATTGGAAGTGATAGGTTTGGGGCAGGGACGCCGGTGACGACTGCGTTTGAAATTTGAGTTGAGGGGTAGGGGAGCCCGTGAGAGTAGTTTACCAGTTTGCCCTCACACATGCAAGCCTGGTTAAATCTATAAAAATTGGGTAACTGAAAATTTGTGTGGGGTAATGAGAAAGTGGGACCCGACTTATCATCGACAACTAGTGGCAAATTTTTTAAAATAATGCAAAGGAGACGTTAGTTGAGCCGGAACGATGCGGAGTTCATACATGGTCTTTCCCCTAGTGCTCGTAGCTAGGGTGTAGAGGTCCTCCGACGGCGCCACCATCGAGAGTCTTTCTCTTCCGATTGATCTCCCCTCCAACCCCGTCTTTCTTCCGATGACTCGTGTTGACCAAGGGGGGGCTGCGCTCCTGCCCAGCCTTGGTTTGGTGAGGACTCTTGGGAATTCTAGGAGGGTTTTGATCTACGTGGGGCAGATGGGGCCATAAGGGAGTAGCGCTAGAATGGAGAAGGGACGATGAAGATGTTGAGGATCTGCTCAACCGACTCGATATAAATGAAGATGGTGGGGATGATTTCATTTGAGAGAATAACCTGATCTACCAGATGTGCGTGCGAAGTGGCTAGCAATTGTAAAGGTTTACACTAGCAAGGGTCGACGTGGAATCCTGCGAAGGAGGTACATTGGTAGTTGAATGTTGTCAATTTTGTTTACGGTGCAGTTTCAGATGTCTGTGAGATTGGAACACAATGGTGCTCAATGGCCTCTGGCTATTCATAAACCAAACAGTTATTCTGATGGAGCGATGGCTTCACAAACACTAGATCAGTAGTGTTGGATAAGGTAGTTGTGCGGGTGAGAATTCCCATAGTGCCAGGCGGTTGCTTGAATGATATGGTGACCAAAGTATGTGAAGGAAGATGGGAAAGATCCTTGAAGTCCAAATTAAACTCCCAGTTGGGTATGTCGACGCACCTGTAGGGGTTAGAGTGAACATGGATGTCAACAAGAAATTGGAATGTCTTGTTTCAATAACTAGGGCTAGAAAGAAGGATTGATACCAAGTATGAGAAGTTGCCAACGTTCTGCAATAAATGTGGATTGTTGGGTCCCAGTATGACGATTGTTGGGTACCAGAAGTCCAGTAATTTATGGTTGTTCTACTTCTAGATAGGCGGTGCCGGATTTTCGGTAAGGACCAGCTGTGTAGAATCGAAAGTATGTCTAGAGGGGGGGGTGATTAGACTACTTGACCAAAGAAAAATCTAGCCTTTTCCCAATTTTAAGTTTTGGCAGATTTTAGCAACTTAGCACAAGTCAAGCAATCAACCTACACATGCAAGTCTAAGAGTATAGCATCGGAATGTAAAACATTTGCATATGAAGGTAAAGGAAGGAGTTTGGAGGGAGCAAACGCAATGTAGACATGGAGATTTTTGGCGTGGTTCCGATAGGTGGTGCTATCATACATCCACGTTGATGGAGACTTCAACCCATGAAGGGTAACTGAAAGAACATGCGGTGCCCCCATGTTTGGTTTTGGTAATTGATGACAATCTCTATGGACTAATGATTGCCTCGAGTTATATTTGAAGGATTTGTCCATAGGTTTTTCTTGAAGTCCATTTGTTGGTTTCAAGGAGTTTATGAGTTGACCGTGGTGCTTTTAAGGAATTATCCAAAGATTGGTCATGTGAGTGTTGAGCTTATTGCAAGCATGTCTTGAAGAAGAAGATTGTGTGATCATTCATGCTTACCTTCAAGGCATCATCCAAATAAAGAGAGTTGGAAAGGTTCAAGGTTGATCAAGACTAAGTCAAGAGTGAATCAAGTTGATCAACTCACAAAGCATAGAAGATGTACCGAGAGGGATCAAGTGATCCCATGGTATGGTAAGCATTGTCAATTACGCTTTGTGTACTAACCCATGGTCTTCGTGAGAGTTTTTTGTGGGGTTAGGTTGTCGTGTGCAAGCTCAAGTGATGCATCACGAAGAGATCAAGTGCTTGAAGCTTGCCATCCATTCTAGTGAAAATGGACTTGTGAAGATGTGCCGAAGAGTGGCTCACCCATAGTGGAGTATGGGGGAGAAATCTACTAGTCTTCATCGAGCCAACGCAATCAAGAAAGGTGGACAAACTTGAGGGAGTCAAGATCATCATCATCTAGCTCAAGTGGACCATGTGCAAGGCAAAGGTTTGCCATTGATAGGTTTTCTATTTTACCAGTCTCATGGTGGTAGTTGGGAGACCGGGTTATAGGATCAAGTGTCGTACTATCAAGGGGGGCTCTCGATGAGTAGCCTGATCATATCTTTCGTAGAGAGCTCAAACCATTGCATATTTGCATCATATTTATTGGTTCTTGTTTGGTTCTTCTCTTTGTGAGATTTGGAGCTTATGGTCATCTTGATGACAAGCTCGAGTTCTTCGAAAACGGAGTTCACTCGCATCTTCTATGATGTTTTCGACGTTGGAGGTTATGTCGGTTCTTCTCTGTTGGAGGTTTCACTCCTCTATTTGTTAGGCATACCTCTCCTGCCTCTTCTTACTATATCCAATCGATGTTTTGATGCTTCTCGTCATCTTGTTTCCAACAAGCTTGAGCTTGCTCGATTCAGAGCTCATTTGCAAAAGTTATGGCAGTTCTGGTTTTCCTTGGAGTATACTTGTTTTCATGGTAGTGGCATATGTTTGGTGCCAGCGGTAGTACCGCGGGGCCAGACACTACTGGAATCAGCTACTTTGCCATCTGTTGGCTCTTTGCCGTCTGCTAGTAGAGGGCAAAGAAGCTCTTTGCCATCAGCTACCGAAAAGAAGACGACAAAGAAACGGCGGACAGCAAAACAAGCCTTTGCCATCTGACAGCTCTTTGCCGTAAGCCAGCAGATGGCAAAGATTCTTTGCCGTCAGCTGGCTGACGACAAAGAGAGAGGTGGCCCCCACCCCCAGCCCATTTAGAAAAAACTTAACGCCCACCTCTTTGCCGTCCGCTAGCAGACGGCAAGGAGAGATAAAGGCGGACGACAAAGAGCAGCGGACGGCAAAGAGCAGTCTAACTAATGGCCCCCACCCCCGCCCGCTACTCTCTCTGCTCTCCCTCTCTCCTCCCCGATGCCCACCAGATCCCCACCCACTGCCG